GAAGATCTGTAAAGTTATTTGGATTTTTACAGCATTATTGTTGAAATACACAGTCCTGAAAAAGGGACGTTTCTTTTTTTGCTGAGTATATATTCATTTTTGTTAGGCTTGAATGTTCAGGAGAGAGGAAAACACTAGTTCATCCATATGTATATGAGTAGGACCAGATTTCTAGTAACCAGAGAATATCTGTATCTTTTCCTTGCCACTATTGTGTATATGGAGATATATGTGTATATTGTGTATATGGAGATCCTTCTAATCAGGATGCCAAGCTTTGATGTTCCAAAAGATAAGCATTTTGTTTGAAACTTCTCAGCTTTATTAAAGCTTGTTTGTACAATCAAAGGGTTCTGTATAAAGAAAGTTTGAGGATTTAGTGTTTTCTTTGTACAAAAAATTACCAGAGGATGTGACACCATGGAAAACACTGTGTTTCAGATCTGCCTACAGCAGAAGAACTCATGCAGCCAATCAGACCAGACTTTGGTTTCACCCAGCTATCTTCCCAGCACCCAGTCATGTGAGACTTCACTGCAACACATATATGCACTGATATACCACCAAAATGCCCCTTCTATATGTAAAAAAGGTTCTGTGAAATTATTACCAGGCTATGGGAGGCTCAAGGTCACATTTTATAGTTGTTATATAGTTACCTTCATCTGTTTGCTGTCATTTCCAATCACATATCATTTTGTTGAAATCATGCTGAAGGACTTTAATGTGTGATTCAGCAAAGTCAAGAAAGCCTATAAACATGATATTTGGCACTGAATATTGAACAGTTAACAAATCTGAGTGAATGAGTGACTCTTTGTGAAAAGAGTTTCTTTGTTAGAGATTTAAAGAAATCTAAACCTTCTAAGGCTTTCAGAATGCTTTGCACTCTACCTGGCAGTTGACGTGTTATTAAAAATATTACAATAAAATGTAACACGACATCGTGCTTGAGATTGAGGTGAAACTCACACTGAACTGTGTCTGATCACAGTGATGACAGCATAGGGTGATGACCATATGTCTGGTCACAGTCAGTATGTTTACTTGCACAGCTAAGTTGAGCTATGGTTATACCTCAACTACGGCATTTAATTAGTACTACTGTCCTTGTCCCAGTATACATGCACAGGAGGGGAATCAATTTATTGACCGAAGTATGTTTGACTCCGGTACAATAGGTGGCGATATAGCTCCTTTCGGCTTGTTAGTATTGGGCTTTTTTTCCAGTCCACCTATTACATCACAGACTTAAAGTAATAATAATGGATGTGTGGACAAATGAAGTGACACAATCTTTTTCCTGTCACTTTTTAATTTCTTTTTTGTATGATAAAACTAACACAAAAAATATTCTTGCAATTCTGCAATTGCGTTAATTAATTAATTGGCTCTAGTTTCTGAGATATTTAATAGTTAATCTGGCAAAACCGAAGTCATATTCTTAATCAGCACCATACACTTAATATAAAACCGTTCAGACATCGTTGGCACCGAAATCACTGTATACCAGTGTTATGATTCAGAGAACGCATGCAGCGGTCATGCAAAAGCAGCAGAGGTAATACATTAAACAGATTTGTAAACATGAACTAGATAACCCTGAAAAGGATTACTTGCTAACATGCAATGTTGGTATTAATATTGCATGTCATTCAGCCCTAAAATATACTACAGGCATTTTTTCGAATCGAGTACAAGATGTCATTTGGCGTCGGTACCAGTTTTTACCCCAATGTAAAACCAACACCTTGAAATACTGTACTTTTGGTACATTCTTGAAGTACCAAAAGCACGGTGCCTGGTGCATTGGAATAGCGCCCTGCAGTTTAGCAGTGAATTGGACAGCGTTAAAGTACTGTACATTTCATATGGGCTGCATATCCATTGCTCTGCACCATGATTCTTCTGTGTGCCGGCTTCTTCTGTTACTTCTGGGGGGGAGGGGGAGACTGTGAAGCATGCGCAGAGCGTCTAGGCCAGTTTGAGTCCAGTTGAACATATACTGTACATGCAGGAGGAAATAGACTCCCAATCACATTATCTGGGTGTCTTAGTCTGATTTAGAGAAATTTTATTTAGTGTGATTTCAGTCAGACTGGCAGGTTCACATGCACTGTAAAAGTCTGGTTTTAGTCAGGCTAACACAATAATTTGATTTTCTTAGTGTGCATGTAAACATAATGGGCAGCACTGGGTGATGACCTTATACTGTATCTGATTACAGTGGTGACAGCACTGGGATACTGCAGGGGTGCAGGATCAGCACCTCTGCTGAAGGACTGCTTCGGGGGGCAGCTGGAGAGAGCACAGAAGGTCCACCTTTGGGGACAGGAGATTGGACAGGAGATGAAAAGCACAGGAATATCATGGAGGAGGTGAAACTGCTCATGCAGTGCCAGGATGGTTACCTTGCGCCTCCTCCCCCACAACTTTGTAAAAAGAAAACGAAACAGGTGAAAATAAGGTGCATAAATGCAGACACTGGTGAAACAGAGATTTGCATGGGGCAGTGGTGGCCTAATGGTTATGGAACCGCACTTGTAATTGAAAGATTGCTGGTTTGAATCCCCAACCAGCATGGTACCACGGAGGTACCCTGAGCAAGGTACAGCCCCCATGGACTGCTCTCCGGGTGATGAATTAGCTGCCCTTTGCTATGTCACAATGTCACATATGGGTTAAATGCAGAGGACATATTGTCCTGTGGTGTGTCAACAATGATCACTGATCACCTAGTTCTAATTTAATTCTAATTTGGAGAATGGGATGGCAGTTCTCCCCAGCGAAAGATGACATTTTTTTTTTTTTTTAATAGGTCCCAGGGCACTTTTCAGTGCAGGGGTGTCGTCGTGCTTCATCTTTTACCTCCCAAAAGAAATCTTCTGTGCCCCAGGTGAAGAATAAGAGAGCTTTGCCTGGCTCACATTCACAAGCAAATGTGGGAAATCTGGCAGGTAGGCTAAATGCTGAAATACTCAAAGAAGGTGAAATACTGCCATTTATTGGTAGGTAGGTGGGGGGGTGGGTAGTTACTGACATTGAGAATGGGGGGGGAAAAAAGGAGTGACAAAGGATTTTGAAAGTTCCTTAAACTTTTCAAATGAACTCTGTAAGTACATATCTCACACTAGTTCTATGTTTCTACATTTCAGACAGACATGCTGAGCTGGGGCTGACAGTGAGTGATGACCTTGTGTCTTCAGTGCAGTCCTCTGCTACCTCCCTGCAGCAGCGTGTACAGCAGAGAGAGCACGAGGCCTGTGGTGGGGCACAAGACTCAGATGCAAGATACAGTAGACAGGTGAGTAACTTACTGCCATTCACTACTGCATTCTAATGTCAGCTGTGTCAATTATATTGTCTTCTGAACATACGTAATATGTATGACATATACGTACCTTATACATTATAAACAGTATATCTATACTTCCATATATGCATATGTTCCATACATTGATACATTAACTTTATATATTTATATTTTTAGCTGTTGCATGAGATGAGATGATTTTTCTTTCCTTGTTTGACAGTTAAAACTTTCATGGTATTCAGTTCCCATCACAGGTGTCTATATAATCATGTAATATAGAGACTTGATTGAAAATGACCTTGTGCTCTTATTGAAGCCTGAGGTAAATAAGGAGTCACTGTACCTGCAGAGTAACACAGCACCACCCAGCTGCAGTGGAAAGGAGATGGGTGCTGCGAATGCTCAGGACTGCCCTCTAGTGGATAAGCCAGCACACAAGCAGAAGCAATTCAAGACACGAGAAGAGGATTTAATTCTGGCCCACAAGAGGGAGGTTTTAGTACTCAAACAGAAAAATTACGTCTTACAGACAAAGGTAGGAACCCATAATTGTATTCCCTGGAGAGGGGATGCATATGGTTTTGGGATCAGTCCACCACCACAGATGGTCTTAAGATAACTCAAATACTTTTTGAAGAGTCTTCTCCAAATTTTGCTGAGGCATGATATGGGTAACAAACCAGAACCTTTTAAAATTTGAGACAGATCTCCCTAAAATTGAAGTAGCACCATGCAGTGATAGCAAAAAACACATTTTTCAAATTCGACATTGGATCCTATTAGTACTGTAACTTAAAGTATTTGGTATCTTTTTCCACCTTTGCAGATATGTTGTAATGGTAAAGATCTGGACCTGATCAAACTTTGGAACAAATCAAAGCTGATATTTATTGTATATGAGAATGATTATTACCTATGGGTCCACCACCTGCAGTGATGTTTAGTAGTGATGTAATGGACTGTAGTTAATCTGTGATCCGTGTTATAATTTCTCACTATAGGGGAGAATTCCCTCCTTATATGTAGCACACGGGGGTAGGGGGATTTAAAATTTTGGGTGGAAATCCAATAACATATCTGCACGGATTCAATAGCGTTAGCCATAGAAGTTTTAAGTGACTTTTCAAAAACCTCTTTTCGGAGGTTATAAGATAAAAGAACAGATTATAAACAGTTGTGGTCAAGGCTTTTGAGTTCTGGAGCTTATAGACATAGGGGTTGGCGACATAGTGGATTGAAGCATTCAGAAGTTTCATGTTTGATTGATTTGATTTGATTGATTAATTTTATTGATTAGCATTCACATTCAAATATCTGAATGAATACAAAATAAAAATTACCACAAAGCAAAAACACAGGACAAAGCTAATCAAAAGGTATTGGCTGAAGCATATGCTTATTTCGCCAACCTTTTTAACAAAACAAAACAATTACAAAACAAGTAATTACATCAAAGCAAAACAACCAAGGGTTTTAGTATTGTTATCACTCTTTTCATTCTTGATTTATATATGTTTCTAATACTCTATTTTTAAACCTATTTTTAAACAAGGTAAATGAACTACACCTTTTTAAATTACTATCATAACTATTCCACAAGTTAACTCCTCTAACAGACACACATCTCTGCTTTATGTTTGACCTTATCTTATCTTTTTCAAAGACATCTGTTCCCCTTAGGTCATATTGACTCTCTCTGACTTTAAACAGCCTCTGAATACTGCGGCAAAGCAAGTTATTTTGTGCTTTATACATTATCTGTGCCATTTTATATTCAAGTAAATCATAAAATTTCAGGGTATTAAAATTAATAAACAAAATATTAGTTGGTTGTACATAGTTTGATTGATTTATTATTCTTATAGCCCTTTTTTGTAACTTAAAAATAGGAAGAGTATTTGTTTTATATGCATTACCCCATATCTCTAGACAATAAGTCATATAAGGAAGCAGCAGAGTACAATAAAGTGTATATAATGATTTCTTATTCAGATCATACTTTGTTTTATAGAGAATAGCAATGATCTTTGACATTTTTTTTAACATGATTTATATGAAATTTCCAGCTTAACTTATCATCAATTATCACTCCAAGAAATTTATTTTCATACACTCTTTGATTTCTATTCCATCAACCCTGATTTCAGGTACGTTTTTCATTTGTCTAGTGCCAGAAATAATACATTGTGTTTTGTTTATGATTAGCGTTAACTTATTTATATCAAACCAGTTTTTTAATATATTTAACTCCTTTTCCACCGTAGTCAGAAGCTATTTTAGGTTTTTACCTGAACAATACAGAGTAGCATCATCAGCAAACAATACACATTTTAACAAATTGGAAACACTACATATATCATTTATATATAATATGAATAACTTAGGGCCCAACACAGAGCCCTGAGGAACACCACAATTTCCCTTCATCTGATTAGATTTTACATTATTAATTTCGACATATTGATATCTATCATCCAGGTAACTTTGCATCCACTTGTAAACTATCCCTCTTATACCATATCTCTGTAGTTTATTCATTAATATAGAATGATCAATTGTATCAAACGCCTTTTTTAAGTCTATAAAAACAGCAACAGTATATTCCTTATTATCTATTGCATTCGATATCCCTTCATGTGGTTTGATTACTAGTGTTAGAACTTTAGAGACACTTTTTTTGTATAAAAGTCAGTGGCCTACAGAATGAATATTGATGAGATAGGTGTCAACACACCTGTAATGGTTTGCATACTGCCAATGGTCCATCAGTCTGGAATGTCATTGTCACTGCCCCCCACACTCATCAGTTTGGAAAGTCTGGAAGTATGATTTTTAAGAATAGACAATAAGAGCCTTTTTACTGAACAATCAATTTTCAGTTCTAATCAGGATGCCAAGCTTCAAAACAGTTTCTGTCTGGTTGAAGGGAAAGGTACACATCTATGGCATCAAATCAGACTCACCACGACCCAAATTTGAATTTATTTACCCGAATCTGAATGTGTTTACCTGAACTTGAATTAAAGAAACCAAATTTGAATTTATTACCTGAACTTAAAATTGTGTTTTTTGTGTGGTGAATAAAAGTTCGGGTTGTTAAAATTCAGGTCAAGAAAATTTAGGTTGAGAGATTCAAATTCATAAAAACGGAAAATATCTGGGATACACAAAGAGCAAACAAGCATAGATCTAATCAAGCATAATCCCGGCCAAACACAAGGCAGGTCACCAGTCATTTGGGATGGGGTTTCCTACATCCATCACCTTTATACAGTGGTTAATACCATGATATGGTTTTTGGTCCGTAACCAGTCATACGGATCATACAGAGGATAGGAGGATGCAGCTTCCCAAGCCATGAAGTGAGATCTGTTGTTTTTTGTTTTTTTTAGCTATGACTGTTTACAGGCAATAATCTGATTAAGATGTTCTGGTATGTTTTTAATGAGCTAGTCATGTAAACACAGTAATCCAGTAATTAAAAACAACTGTAAACACCTTAATAGGGTTATCGCATGTAAACAGCTAAAGTAAGCTAAAAACCAGGACATGCCACCACGCTGTCTCATCATACAAAGTGAACTCCTAATATTTTCCTATCTGCTGACACCCACTAGCTTCAGAACAATGGTTCAATTTGAGAAAACTGCATGTCCCTCATCTCCAATGGGAGTCCATTGGGCTGGGCCGTATGGACCACAAACGTTATCCAGGTATTTTTAGGCAGATTAGGGATACATGATATTTTCAGTCAAGTGTGCTAAATGGCCTCACAGCAAGAGGGACTTTTTCTGTGTGGAGTTCGAACACTCTCCTCGTGTTCACGTGGGTTTCCGCTAGGGGTTCCAGTTTCCTCCCACGGTCCAAAAGCGTGCCAGGCAAGTTGATTGGCGAGTCTACATTGGCCCTATAATTGTGTGAGTGTGTGCGCCCTGCAGCATGTTGGTGACTGCCCATGGTTGGTTCCTACCTGTGCCAATTGTTCCTGAGATAGGCTCCGGTTCCCCCGCGCGACCCCGGTTGGGATTACGCAGTTACAGTGCTGGCTGGATGGATGAATGGATGCCATTCATTCGGTGTATTCATTCTGAAGTTTACTTCTGCTGTTTTTGCGTGAGCTTTGCGCGTGATCTCCAAGCCAATCATAATGATTTTAATCTTTTCTCACTTGTAGTTTGGTGCCTATAAAGACTGTATTTGCAAATGATTTGTCAGTTTTGCTTTGTGTGTCTTGGTACAGCTCGTGGCAGCAAGTGCAAGAGAATCTGATTATGCTGCTTCTGTTAATTTTATATTTGCATTTAGCTTGTTATGGCTGGCATTTAAAATTGAATTTTATTTTCTGTGAAGTTGGTTCTTAATTAAAATTTTAGTAAGAGATATATGTCAGTGTACCAATAGTTTTTTTGCCAAGTTAACCAGAACTAATTACTTGCTTTTCTCCATAAAGACTCTATTGATAGATAATAGTAGGTCCTATTTGGCCATGATATTTTAATTTTCAACAATTTTATAACCGTAGTATTATTTATCTCAACAGTTTCAAATGTTACAATGTGAATTTTTCCAATATCATTAAGACCTAGTTTCAAGCCTTCTTTTAAGTTAGCCTTTAAGTGATGTCTTATTTTGCATGGAAATAAATTGAGTAGCCTATAAGTTACTCTGTTAATTCTTAGGATTTTGTTGATAAAAATAAAGGAATCACCTTTCGCTGTAACTGCCTAAAGCACTGGCTATTAAACATTGTTATATGCACCTGAAATTAAGCAGTCTCTTCAATTTAATTTCATTTTAGTTTCAGTTAAATTTATTCAAGCTACATTTTAAGTCCAAATCGCCTTGTATCCTGTAAGAGTTCACAAGCACCACTGTTATTTCAGCCAGTACAATTTTCCTCCTTTAGAGCTTAAATCTGGTTTTGTTCTCATTTGTACAATCATTCACCCATTCCTAGGTCATATGCTGTAGTCTGGGTATCTGTAGCCTGAATTGTGTATGGTGTTATGTGTAGAAAAAGGACCAGAATTTCTATAAAGAGTACCAACCTAAGTACCTTTTTGGGTAAAATTATGAATTACATTGAGAGGGAAATGCTTGAGCAGTACATTAAATTAAAAAGCAGTACATTATGTTTATCACATTAAATGTGATAAACATAAGGGGTGGCTAATATAAGAATTTTGCTCAGCCGCACAGTCAACTATAGTTCTGTAATGAGGATGAGTAAAAATGGTTAAATATTTGTTCAATGATTCATCCATTAGGAGCACAGACATAGGTTTCCTGGATAGGAAATAGAAAAATAAGCTACGTCAGCAGTTGCCATGACTCCCTAGTGCTTCTGTTATTCTTGTTTTAGTGGATGTTATATTGCATTTGCATACATGTGAAGATATGAACCACTATTCTGGCAAAACAGAATCCAGTAATTCTGCCAAAAGTAATTAATCTCAGCATTTCTACTTTACTTGGAATGCAATAGATGTAAATGTTGATTTTTGTGTTGTAATAGTACAGTCATTACATTAAAACCAAACTACATTTTTGTGGTAAAGTTCTACTGTATTTCTACATGCGTGCAGTGATCTGCAGTGATTTGGTGATCTCATTCTCTCTGTCTGCAATTGGTTATTTGATCATATTGAGTAAAACAGGTTGTATTATAACTCATTCTCGAGGAACAGCTTTTCATATTGCACATACACTAGTTTGAAATTAACACTCATTTGAATAATCTTCAACCCATCACTGTTATCAATTTGTTTTGTCATGTATATGGATGTCGTCTTTAAAAATATATTTTAACTTGATCCATCCATCCAACACTGCAACTGTATCCTAAGGTGGCTTAAAGTAAGCCTGGAGCGTATGCCAGAAGGCATGGTGTACAATGTTGACTTAATATCTAGTTTATATAAATATCAGCATGTAAAGAGGATTGCAAAAAAGCAATAAATCCAAGGACATTGAGTGATGTGTTCATTCATTTGGGCCAAAAAGACTGAGATCACATTGAAAATCTAGGATTTTTCGCATTTAGTCCTGGAAATAGTTTTGGTATGAGCTGAAATATGCCATCATTTGACGTGGGCTAAGACATACCAGTGCTTTGCCTACTCTGGGGTTGGATCCCTGCACCAAATCGAGGACACCCCAATAAAGTTAAGGTAACTCTTCATTCCTCAGAGATATGCTGTACCCTCTTGTTTGGTTCTTCATGGAGAAGGTTTCATAATGATGTCAACAACATTAACACTCAATGTACTAACCCATGACTGTTCCAAATGACTCATGGACTTCACTGTCATGGACTCTTTACATTTTTTATTAACATATTTTAATGTACATCACTTTGGCAGAGCGTTTTTTTAAATGTGCGATATAAATAAAAATAACTTGACAGGCACCTGACCTCAACCTCATGGAACATTATGGGGGCAATTGAAGATTGAGAAAGCTAAGCAATTAATAACATCATGAGATGCTCTTTGAAACATTATTAGATTATTCTGGGATCAACAGGTTTTGGAGTCTATTCTAGCATGAGTGGACAATGTTTTTAAAGCAAGAGAAACATACACTACCAGTAAATTTTTTGCACAAACTGAGATTTTCTGCATTTGCATGTTACTCACTTAACATTTACTAAAACTATACTCGGTATTCTTTGCTAACAAATTTTCAGTATGTTCACCATTTGAGTACCTTTATTAGCAAGAAAATGTCATATCTTTGATTCATTGACGTAACCTCCTCTAGCAGTTATAACAACAGAGAAAATTTGAGGCATTCTTTTCTACAAGGAAAGTTAAATACTGCTCTGTTTCATGGGATGAAACAATGAACTAGTGCATTTAAAGTTAAAGGAGAGCCTAGAATTTGACTGCCATCACCAAACAACCAGCCAGTAGGATGTCAGGCATGCACTTTTACATACCATTTTCATGTTATAAAGGAAACTTTATTTGACTTATATTTTTATTTACAGGTGTTCACTCAAATTTCCAAAGCTTAAGAATAAAAAATCTGCAGTTTATGAAATAAATGGGAAAGTAGTAAAAACTTGTGGTGCACAAAACTTTTGACTGGTAGTGTACCAGAAAGAAATTCTGAAATACATGTATATGTTAAATTTTTTATGAAAATTGTCATGTTGAGAAAATATGTAATGAACAAATTACACAATAATACAAAATAGAAGCATTTTCACTAGTGGTCTCAGTCTTTTGGACCTTCTGTTTGTGCTATTGAATGTATTGAATGCTGAAGGTCATTGGATGCTCATATTGCACTTAAAATGACCATTTGTAATATGTCCACGTTGACATCATGGATATCAGCGCTGTTGGTATGAAACTCTTATCAAATACAATTTAATCCCAGTCCTTTTATGTAGCACTTTACTACATGCAATTTACGTTTTTTTTTTTTGTATTGTCCCAGTCCTTTTATGTAGCACCATGGTCCCGGGGAACGTTATTTCATTTCACTTTGTACTGTACCACGTATACTGTTGAAATGACAATAAAAGCAACCTTGAACCTTGATAATCCCCTTATAGTAGACTCGCTTGTAACGGAATACCATCTATAACAAACGAGGTCCGCTGGTCCCGGCTGTGCGCCTTTACGAACATGCAGAAAAAGCATCGGATATAGCAGACTTGCATATAATGGGATTTCGCTTATAATGGACAAACAATTTGGTCCCCAGGGCCGCTTTTAGCTGTAGTTTTGTTCGTCTATAACAAACATGCAGGCTCCGCCTACAAGGCGCGTGGCATGCCGGTGATATCCAGTGCAGATACGTAGTCGGGATTATTAATAGTCATGCTCTATAAATAGGCATTGCGTAACAGTAGGCAACACTGATTGACCTCCAGGCACGCTGGAGGGATGCAGTAAGTAATGAGGTCAAGGTTACTACTGTACCGAACATGTATAACTACTATAAGGCCATATATACTTCCAACAGTCAGGTAAGTTGAATTACTACATGTACAATATAATAATCTATACCACAAGTGTGTCTGATGGGGTGTGGCATGAGTAAATGGTGTCCTGTAGTTGTGTTCTGGGCATAAGCAACTCTGGGTATAACGGACTTTGGATATAATGGACTGTTTTTCCAGGTCCCTTGAAGTCCGTTATAATGGAATTGTACTGTACTACATAATGTTCAATATTAATAATTGAACTTACAACTGTTTATCCTGGTCATGAGGGATTGACAGAAATCCTTACATTTTATTACTTTATTGTAATTGTAGTTGTAATTATTTATCTTACATATGCATTTAGTTGCATTACCTAGAAGAGGTCAGCAAGAAGGTGGGATGGAGCATTGGGAAGTCCTCAGACCCCATAACAAATGAGAAGCTCAAGCTCATTGAGAAGGAGCTGAAGGAGCAGGAGACCCTCATCCAGGGATACCATCAGGTATATGCTTTTTAATAACATTTCTCCAGGTATGAAGAGGTTCCTCACAGGTTCTTCATCAATGCTGGTTCATTTCCATGCTGTTTTGCAGCAAGTGTTCCAGGTGCTTGGTGTTTACTGAACTTATCATTCACCATTAGGCCATTTCCCTTTTGTAAGTCTTTATTAAAAGAACCCTAAAAATGAAGCTCTTTGAAGATGTAAAATGTACTTCGTATCTAGAATAGGATTTTTAAATTTTCTTAAAATATGCCTTTTAAATAAAAAAATATATATATTATATGGTGAGTCTTTTGTTTAATGACAATTCTGTTAACTTTCTTATTCACATAGTACTTTTAAAAATATCTGATTCTTGGAATAACCATGAAGGACCTTTATATGACCTGAATAACTCACTTTATAGAGTCCAGACATCTGTTTTTCATCATTAAAGCAGACTTGCAATTTGAGGTTACTTTTTCATTCAGTAGCTTTTGTTTTATGGCACTTACATTTTTTGCTTTTTGATTGTTGCTTATAACAAACGTACTAACCTGGGTGTGGAATATTTAATTTATTAAATGAATGGAGGGTCTGGCAGACAGGTGTGTTTTCATGGAGCTGCATCTGTCCTTGCCAACAGGAGAATGCAAAGCTGTACCACCAGGTGAAGGCATTAAAATCACAGAGCAAGGAAAATGAAGAGGCCATGTTCATGGTGAACCAACGACTACAGGTTGAATTGGCCATGGCCAGGTGGGTGTCACTACCCTAAATTACGCAAGATCCTTATTGGTTAGAGGTGTACTGGTTTATTCCCATATTATTTTTATGCATATTTCAAGTGAACATGGTGAAATGATTAAACACATTTACATTCACAACAAAGTCACCCCAAGGAGCTTTTCATGGGTGTGTTACTAAATCTTTCATAAAGAATTATACAAAAAAGGTAAAACAAAGAAGGAAAGAAAGAAGACAACAGAGGAGAAGAACCAAAAAAAAAACCTCTAGGGATCCAAGGTCAACTGGCTACCCACCCCCCCAGGCATGCTAACATTATACAATAAAAAAGAATAGGAATAGGCTTGCTTGGTAAAAACGCATCGACTGTAGTCATGGTCAAGTCCTTCAATGCATGTGAGTTGGTAGATTGAAGGCTGTACCCTGTATCACATTTCCATGGGATTGAACTACATGTGGGAATGAAGACATTGAACGTGGGTGGTCAGAACATGCAGAGACGTAGTAATAGATATGTAATTGATATTAAGTTCAGCACAGGAATGTCTGTGGAATGTTTGTGTTTAAGTCTTTGTATAGTAATAGTTACCATATTTTTTCTAGGGTCATTCAACTCTGTTTCTAAATAGTTGTTAGATTTAGGGAATGCCATGTTACAGAGCAACTGGTCAATGCCAGACATGAGCTAAAGGTGGGAAAGTAAACAGCCTTCGATTTATGATCACAGGGTCTCCGGTAGTACACTTAGAAGTCAGGCAGCAAAACTATTTGCTTTTTTTTTTCCAAATCGCATATATGATCCCCTCCTATAGAGGATGGATAACGTCTTGTTTATAAAAGTCAGGCTGTTCCCAAAAAACCTCCCAATTATAAGGCTATGCACACCATTCAGTTTATGAAAAGTATCCTGCTATAGGTTACTTCACCACTATAGAGAATTGGTAAGGAACCAGAACCAGTTAGATTTTGATATTTTGTTTTGCTTTCACACACACAGAAAAGAAGTTCCTCTTTAATACCTTGTATTGTTGGGACTTTATATCATTAGTTCCAATATGAATAACCAAGGTGGAAACATCATTGTTGGAGAGTGTGTCCAATTTCACCTTGATGTTGGAAACACTAGTCCCGGGGTGGCATTTCACAGAAAGTGTTGCTCTGTGATCTTTAGAAATTAACATTTCTACCTATCGAGTATCCAATTACATGCACCTTTTCCACTTAAGCAGACAAACTGACAAGAGCAGAAAACCTGTTGCTAAGCGCAACAGCTGACTGATGTACAGGAGCTTTCTGCTCTCTGCTCCTAGGACCATGTCTGACCATGACTCAGGGATCCCATGCGCTGGCTGATGGTACCAATGCCGAACAGGAGACAATCGTGGCAGGAGGAACTACAGTCAGATTTAAGCTGCCTGTGTGCTCCAGTCAAGCTATATCTATAAATCCTTCAATCTATTTAATCTCCAGTAGGGTACTAATGTGAATCCTGTCCTCTGGCTCTACTATAACAAAACATTTCTGGCATAAAAAACTGTCAGGAAAGTTGGAGAGTCTACACTGTACATGACACAGTAGCTACAAAACACATGTGCAGAAGACATAACCGCGACTTACCTTTTGTGAATCGTGTTGTTTCCTCACTCTTGGAATGTTGAATGAATGTTCTCCCAGCAGTGATTTGAAAACATATTTGTTGTTTTTCTTTCTGATATGAGTCCCCTAATCAGCTTCTTGCAATGCTTTGAGGCATGTTTGGGGTTATCATCCTGTGGCAGCATGAATCCACAAAGCCCCAAACCAGAGGGTATAGCATGCTTTGAAAGAATGGACTGATACTCTTCCTTTGTTGGGGTGTTGGTGATTCAGTGCAAATGTACTCCAGAGCAGACAAAACACACCCAGACTTCCTGTCACCATGTTTCATTGTTTTTTTGTTTTTCTTTTTTGATAAATTGTAGTATCAGTCTCTTTTCTGTTTCCTTACAAAAAACCCTTCTATTACTATAAAAGCTATAAACTTGGAATTATCAGTAAATATGTTTTGTTCCATTTACCCACTGTGAAATACTGGTGCAGTGGTGACTTCGGTTCACGAATGCTGTGGTCTATGAACAATTTGGTTCACGACCAAAAATTTCATGAAAAAAATGCATTGGTTCGCGTACAAAATTTGGTTGACTAACAGATATCTCGACCAGATTCCTTTTTTGTACTAGTGTAGCACCGGCGGGGCGCATGTCCTAGCATGCCCCACGTGCAATTGTAAAATAGAAGGAACACAACAGGCACCCAATGAGTGCCAAACCCAAATACACAGACGGAAAGCGCAAGGTTGTAAGACGCCGAACTGCAAGATGCACACACGGTGGTAGATTTACACACGCTAAATACACGCGAGGATCGGACCGGGTACACAAAAGACACGGGCAAATACACGTGCGACAACGGAAATGCAGCCATTAACATTAAGAACAACAACAATACAAGGGTTAAGGACTGTTAATAAAGAGCGTGATTTCCCCGGCAAGCAAGTCTCCATGTCTCTCTCTGCTCCCGCGATGCCTCGGTTTGCCCGTAGCCACGCTATATTATGTTTTTCTATATATATTGTTTTTACTATAAAACCCAGAAAATTAATCAACTAAAATTATTTGTTTGGCTTGTGAACTAATTAACGATTTTCAATGCTTTCTTATGGGAAAAATTGGTTCACAACGACTTTCCTGGAACGGATTGTGTTTGTGAACGGCAGGCACCACTAAGTCGATGCTAAATGCTGGTTTAAGACAATCTTAGGACATTTCAAAATTTTATTTCCAGGAATAAATGAAAAAAATAATTCCCAGATACCAGCTTTTGCCGTTGATAATTTGTATTTCATAGGGAAGAAATCAAAAGAAGCTGTATGCAGAGGACTGCTGGAAATGACTTTGAGCAGAATATGGCAATCGCAGACCAGGTGCAGGCTTTACAGGTAAGTGGCTCTGAGCCACCAGGATCTGTAGTCACTCCTAGTAAATATTTGCTGTTTTATAAGAGGGTTCGCTTGGTTGTTTGACTCTTGAACCTGAGAAAAATGTAAAATGATACATGTAAGGCTTACTGTACAGAAGTATATTACAACCACAGAATAATGAACTGACTTTGTAACTTATGTTAAGTATGTCCTCACAGCAGTTTTACTTTATGTTGGTCATAAACTTAAATGTCCTTGAAATAAAAAAGAAAAAACTCTTGGGGAGGGTGTGGTATTGATGTGGTCATTTCTCAGCATGCTGTTGTCTGTCTGATGATCTTTGTTTGCTCCGCTTGGTAGGAGAGTGAAGCCAGACTGACAGAGGAGATTCGGCGGCTGAAACAGGAGAAGCAGACCCTGGAGGTGGATGTGGGGATGGTCAGGAAAGAGATGGACTCAGGTAAGCAGGGGCTTCTCTGTACCTCAGGTGTGCTGGTATTAATGTGTTGAAATTGATTTATTATGTGCCCATGTGGATTAATAGGCTGGCTGTTGTCACTGCCACCTTCTGACCCTTTTTAGTTTACAGAGGATATGTCACTTATTAATGGTTATAAGCTAGAGTCTAAAGATGTGCAAATGCATTTTTATTTTGTAATAGTTCGTCTTAGAATTATACAGTCACAACATTTACGATTAACATAAATACACAAATACACATTAATTTACACTACATAAAGATTTGTGTGGTGCAGTACAAAGCGTGCCGGTAATTGCATAATTAGTTCTGCTGACTAATCGGGCAGCGTGACATGTTAGCCAGTCATAGACAATGGATGAAATCACGACTCATACAATTTCATATTGCTAAAACAATATCCATTCCATCAACTACAATTGAAGTATGTGGAAGCATACTACCTCAAATTAATTAATTAGTATCTCAAAATAAACACTTAGTAAAATAATGGCTTAGTTTCTCATTATTCTGATACACCAAGTCATTAGTTTGAGAATGTTTCTTGTTATTTGGAGATCCTCTCAATATTCCAGTCTAGATTAAAAAACACGTGTGTTTGCTGCAGGTGGCTCTGAGGCTAGGGGTCTGTGCCAGCAACTGGAAGGTTGCTGATTCAAATCCCATGAAACCCTAGAGTGATTCTATTCTATTGGGCCCTTGAGCAAGGCCCTTATCCTGCAATTGCTTCGTCCTGGGTATGTTAATCTACATCCAGCCCTATAAGGAGGTCCTCCAACTTACAAGGAATAACTTGGAGGTTGGTGGCAGGATTGGCACTCCAGCCACCGGAAAAAACTTCACACTGGTCCATTCAGACTAGTGTAGTGCTGAGGTATCGCCCGCCGCATGGCTGCACTCAGGTTCTCTTCCCTGAGGTGGTTTGTCGTGTGGTGGGTGCGGCAACGCACTGTAATCAGTGCATGCCCCTTACCTATTCTCTCTGTGTTGGCTAACTGCTCACCCCAGTTAGGTTTACAGTGTGAGGTGCAGAGCTGGGTGGGGATCGGTGCCATTTGCTTTGGATGAACTGAACTGTCAGTGCTGTCACTCTAGCTTCACACTCCCTTGTGGAATTGGAGTGATACTGTTCAGGGACTCCCCATGCCTGCGTTCCCACTTGCCTCTCCCTCCTACTTATGCTGCCATAGCCATATCTGCTGGAACTTACTTATTGCACTCACCTAACTGTTTGCACTGCCTCTACTCTCCTCTACTTTGGCAAATGCACTTTTTATTTTCCCCACCCCTCCTGGGGTGTACTGCCTGGAGACCCAAAAAATGAAAACAATCAAGATATTCTGCCCACCCTGCTGCCTGCAGTGCCTCTACTACTTGTGATGTTCTTCCGGCCTGCCCACCTTTTTACCTGTGATGTCTCTCCTGCCTTTCTTGCTGTTGTACCAATGTTCATCCTGCCATCACCTCCCTGCCCTCCATATTGAGACTTGGACTCTGGGTAGCAAGTGTACTTTGGCTTAGAACAAAAAACACAATTTAACATTAGAACATAATTTCAGTAACACAATAAAAACTAGTAATAATTTCTTCTGTTTTCTAAAAAGTTACTGATATCTAGTAGGATGGCTAGATGAACACCGTTTCAGTTCCTGAACCTCTCCTCAGGGGCACCCCAGCCATTCCATGATTTTGTTAAATTTCACCAACAGCTCAATTAAATAATTAAATAAATTTGTTTAAAAAGTCAATGACAGATTGACTAGTTGTATGGGGTGTGCTAGTAGCCAAGTCAAAAAATACATGGCTGCACTGGATGGTCGCTGCAAATACTGGGATGATTTTAGCAGAGGTTCTGAAACGGCTACGCTGACACACTTTGACAGGCATAATATCATAGTTTCACACCAATATGAGGATAGTTTAAACATCATTTTCTTTGCCTGCCAAAGACTTTTGCACAGTACTGTATGTTATCAAGCAATGTTCATTATGCATAAGAGAAGTTTTTCATTTTTACTTTTTGGACCAGAAATTTCTACCTCCATCTGAAACCCACAGTAATAATAATAATCAATCCTTTATTGTCCCCGTGGGGAAATTCTTTTTTACGGCTCCCTCAACTTGCTCTTTGTAGAGTAAGCTGTCCACGAAGGGCAGCCACCTGTTGGGGCGCCTAGGGAGCTGGGGGTTAAGGGCTTTGCTCAAGGACCCACAGTCGTGCTGAGGCTGAGTCGTGTTTGAACCGCCGACCTTGTGATTACAGGCACACAGGCTTAGCCCACTGAGCCACATGCTGCCCCCCCCAGTCGAAAAACCCACTCTAAAAATGAATTGGGCTTTCGCAGTGTTATGGATCAAAAACAAACAGGAAAATAATTAGAAGCTTATGGTTCTATGATTTTCCCAACAGGTGATAAAAACTTTGACATAAAGATGCTGGAGGAGCAGCACAAGGTGGAGATACAGGCCCTGAACAGGAGGCTGCAGTGGTACACAGAGAATCAGGAGATGCTGGACAGGGAAGTAGGTCAGCTGAGAGCCACCACAGAAGAGACCCACAGGCTCAAAGAGCAGGTGCAGCTCTCCATATAAACATTCCAACAATGTTGCAATGTTCTATGGGTAGCTAGAGAAGGGTTTCTGTCCTCTGCTTTTCCTGATCTTGATCATACTTATTCCTGCCACTCAAGCCAGCATTTGGGAATAAATAGTACATTTTACTGATTTTTCTGGGTTTTTTTCAGTATGTTTTGAATATTGTGCATGACTTCATTTCACTCAGCTGGTTTTTGTACGCTGATTAATGAGGGTAACATGATGAATAAAAGCTTTTGTGTAGGATAAAGTGTACAGTATAAATAAGGGTAAACCATGGTGAGGTGTGCTTATTAAGTACATATGTTTAGCCAGATATTTTCTGCAAATTATACTTTCCAGTTCGACATACTGACTTAGGAGTAATGGTTTGTTACTTTGGTGTTTAAAGATTTGAGAACTATGTAGAATTTTCTGTATTTTTAAATTTAACTTTACATAATTCAGCAATGTCCCCCCTGGGATCAATGAAGTTTATCTTGACATATTATCATCTGATTGTATGACCTTCTTAACGAAGCTGGCTTAAGAAGTTATGCAATGTTGTTGTCTTAATGTCTTTATTGAACACATGTACTGTAGCCATAATCACTGGAATATGATGGCCAGCAGTGTCTTATACAGAAAAAAGTATTTTGCAGGACCAATGCATTACCACTGCTCTGCAAACCCCATAGCTAGAGACTTAATTCATTAGATATTGTAACAATCCGTTTGAATTAGCTGTTACAAAATACAGTTGAGTGGTTAGTGCCATTGCCTCACACCTCTAGGATCCGGGTTGTGTGTTCATTCCATGTCTCCACTCTGAGCACTCCAGTTTCCTCCCACAGTACAAAAACATGCTGAGGTGAATTGGAGTTACCAAATTGCTCACAGGTGTCCATGTGTGAGTGAATTTGCCCTGTGATGGGTTGGCGCCCCTTCTTGGGTCTTTCCCTGCCTTGCGCTTGTAGCCTCCGATGTAAATTCCGGACCCCTCGCAACCTTGAATAGGACACGCAGTTACAGAAATTGAGTGAATGGTTGAAAATACTTCTCTAGTCTTAGTTGGGCATGGCCAAAATCTGTGCTTTATCATTCTAAAGAAAAAGTGTGCTGTGTTTTTTCGTGACTGAAAACTTATCAAATACCACAACACTATTAAGCAGCTACAGTATGGTCACTGTAGCTGTCACCATCTATATTTGAAAAAGATCCTTTAAAAGGGGCAAATCATTAAATTTTGTTTTAAATGTCCCCACAATCCTGACCAGGATAACTGGTTTGTATCTTATACTTGTTTATCCACAAAGAATGAGTGGAAGTAACATGTTGCTGTACCTCGTGGGCTTAGGGAATATAAGCTGAAACACTGTAGGCAGTATCACTAATTGTCTTATTTGTCCAGTTAGGTAGACAAACAAAAGTATGTGGTGGGAAAGAAGAACAGTCAAGAACAGAAGAAAGTAAAAGAAAGAATGGGAGATGCAAAGAGAATCCTGGATCTGGAGAAACAGGTAGGTTAAAGAAGTAAATAATATTACCTTAACAAGAAACATTGCAGGGAGTGAGTCATAAGAAGCAGGAGAAAGTATGGAAAAGAGATATGACTCATAGGAGATAAGAGCCAAAGTCAGGTCTCCTGTACGTTCCCCTGAACCCCCCAAGCTTACAGTGTCACTTACAGAGGATATGCCCACCTTCCCAATTAGGTGAAGAAGATGGAAGACATACTGAGGCGCAAAAACCCTAACTCCCTTCCTGCACTGATCTCGGCTGCTGCCTCAGCAGCTGGGTCAAGGAGCACTGAGCAGGCTGGAACAGTGTCCTTCCTGGAGTGCCGTGTCCACAGGCTGGAAGAGGAGCTGGAGACCAAGGATGAGGAGGCCAAACAGAGCCTGAGAGCCATGGAAAAACAGTACCACAAGATCAAGGTGAATATAAATGTAATATGTGATATGTGCGTTTCCCGATAACGATGACTCTTAGCATCTTACGAAGATTCTAACTATATATCTTACGAAAGGTATTTCTTTTCCTACGTCTGTTTCCCAAGCAATTTCTTAAGAGATTGCTTAAGGGAGAGCTTCTTAGAGACTCCTCAACCACAGCACATAACGGACAACGACACACACATACATTCTTCTACTATCCATTTCCATAACTTATAAAATATTTTCATATCTGCACTTTATGGCACACCTACAGTGAGATTTATATCTTCACAGTGCAATCTGTATACAGTGCAATTTATACTTCATATTTATACTTTCACAGTGCAGTGTTGTGTTATGTATACTTATGTGTATTATATATACTATATGCACTTTCTTACTTCCTTTGTATATATAGCACAGCCGGGGGTACATTTTGCCAGAAAAAGCATTTCACTGTATGTTGTAGCAGCTATAACTACATGTGACAAATAAAGAATCTACATCTACATCTTAAGAGCGACCTTAATAGGCACTGGAACACCTGATGAGTTGACATTGATGGTTCAAGAATTCATTATTCCCACCGTGCAGGAACTGCTTGACTGCTCTATGACAGAAAGTGGTGTTCTTTATAAATATAACACTGCAGGAATCCTTCAAATGATTGAATTAATTTGAACTGAGGAGAACCTAAAAATAAAATACAAAATTAACAAATTGAATCAGCAATTTCTGAAGTACTCATACCAGCCCATCTGGCACCAACAACTATGTCACGTTCAGTCACTTAATTCACCTTTCTTCCCCATTCTGTTGTTTGATGTGAACATTAACTGAAACTCTTGACTTATCTGCATGCCTTTATACATTGTGGTGTTGGTTAGATATTTGCTTCAATGAGCGGTTGAACAGGTATACTTAATAAAGTGGCCAGTGAGTATAAATTATGTGCACATTTTAGGGTTTTTGTGAGGTTGATTTAGTATTTTGTGATTCCGTTAAACTAAAATACAGTTTAGTATAGGATCAATACCTCTCCTGAAGCTCAACACGTAGAGCTTTGTGCTAACAATACAGACCTCAAATCCCAGAAAGCACGTGTCAGGTTTTTGCTCTACTGTAAGTCTTTTTTGATAAGTGTCAAATGTAAATGTTACATGTGCATTGTGTGCACAAAAAAACTGTCCATGGCCCCACCAGACCTCCATATATACCATTAATGTATCTGTTACAGTTCTTACTATTATGTCATGGAAAATTATGGCCATAGGGCAAAAGAGAAATAAACAGAATGTAAATATTTACAGGTGACATTTTCAAACATAGCCATTTAAGCATTAACAAATGAATATTACCTAAAGTTACCACCTATTTGGTGGGGAAAGATTGTGCAAATTGTCATTTAAATGGAATGTGCAATAATGAATAAGTATACTTTCAGACCTACATATCACAGCAAGTACATGCAGCCTTCAGGTAAAAAAAAAACGTTTATTAACTTTCACATTTCCATGTGATCCATTCAGTACTTGTGGGGTTGAGTACAGATTAGTTGGGGCAGAGTAGGTGATGGGCCTATCTGAGGAGTATAATGCGATCATTTCTGACATCAATTCTAGAAATCTTGAAATTTCTTAGATCAACATATTTTTGTTTATAGATACAATATGAGCAGCATATTTCTGAGCTGGAGGACCAGTTGAGAAAAAAAGGCCTAAATGACCAGGCTGGAACATGCAAGGACTGGGAGTCTAAGGCCCAAGCCCTGGAACAAGAACTGCAAAGCCTTAGAGAGACCCACAAAAAGCAGATCAGTGCTCTCCGGGCAGAGGTTGATGCCCTTCAGGACCAAGTCAAACAGTCTGGATGCAGAGAACAGACACCCAAGAAGAGTCCAAGCAAGCATGACCATCAGGCAGAAATGGCGAAGGGGCTCCGGATTAAGAGTCTGACTCAGGAGCTTGCAGCCAAAATCAAGACAGTACAGGATCTGACTCGAACAATGGAGCGGCTGCAGCGGGAACGGCGGTCACTGCTCTCAGTGTCAGCAGCAAATGCACACAGCAAGGAATCCAAAAAGCCAGTCAGCGCAGCTAGAGAGAGCAGCACCGAGGCTCAGACCTTCCCTGTCACACTAAATGAGAAGAGCTACCCGCCACTCACCTTCTCTGGGTCCCACATTTCAGAAGTACTGCAGGCAAATGATCATCTGAAGGCTTGTTTACAGCACATGGAACTGAAGAACGAACAAGAGAGGGTAGCAAAGTGCCAAGTAGAGAAGGATCTCCACAGGTATGTTGAGACAAATAACCAAGGTGCTGTAAGATGCTTGATTTTATACAACTGTGGCTATGGAAGTGATTGGAACATCTGAATTTAATGAATTGGAGGGGTGTCCCAATATGTTTGGCAATATAGTATACCTACAGCCTACAATCAGAACATCAAAGTATGGAATGTTCTAAATTGTGCTTCTACACGTCCCACAAGAACCACATGTGACAGTTGATGAGACCAGTGCCATCAAGAGTCTGTAAGACCCATCGGTGAACATGATGAGCTAAGGTGTTCAGCTCTAGTTTTTTTTTCCCTCACAGGGTCCGGGAGGATGCTGCAGAGCAGCTGTCATTGCTGAAGACTGAATGCCAGAGGGAGCAAGAGAGCCTGATTGCCCAGCATGCCCTGGAACACTCCTCTTCTAAAGTGGCTGAACTCACCAATCAGCTATCTACCCAGGAGGTAACTATGCAGAGCTTTCAGTGGTCACCAGTTGGGTCAAGTGATCTGTTTTTGAGGATTCTAAGACAGTTATTCTGAAGCTTCAGCAAATATTTAATCAAACCTATTATTTCTTACAAGGATGGTTAAATTTTGTCATTGATAAAATTAATTCATGTATTCAGTCTGTTCAGAGCTGCTTTTAAAATAGTCAGCTTTTCTCCCAAGATCATCATCAGACACTTGCAGGACCAGGTTAAGGAGCTACAGGGATGCAAGGAAGCGCTTGCAGTTTCCCACATTAGAGAGGAGATTTTGCAGAAAGAGGTATGTACCATGTTTTTTTTTTGTTTAATGGCAAGCATAATTATCTCAGCATTGCTATTCCTATTACTACACTGCAGTGTTAAAGCCATTGATTACTAAGCTGTAGAGGAAATGTTTCATATTTTCAAATACAGTGGTACCTCAGTTCTCGAACTCATTAGAACACAAATTTCTAAAAAGTCAAACCAGCCAATTCGAAAAAAAATTACCTAGAATTCGATCTGAATCTCAGAAGTCAAACCATGAACGCCGACCTAAGATATCTTGTACATGTGGGGAAATGAGTCACGCGGCACGTCTCTCAGCGGAAACAAAGGGTAATGCTTCAGTCTCAGCCTCGCATTCGCTGTGATAGCATTGTGCATGTTTATACTAGCTGAATACAAATATTTAGACAGTACAAATACATTTAGTCAATGATAGACATTAACAGTAATTATTATCATACACTCACCTAAAGGATTATTAGGAACACCATACTAATACGGTGTTTGACCCCCTTTCGCCT